GTGACTAAGTTTGTGTTGACAAGGATACCGACATCACCGACGCCTCTTTTATCATATGTTCCAAGGAACAGTTCTTCTCCAGTGTTGAAAACAGCATGATGGGATTGATGTCTTCTCGTTTCGGTCAGACCAATGATGTCGTACTTGATCTTTCGTGCTTGTACCATAAGGTCTTCAATGGATGCAGCAGATGCCAGCGTACGAGCATTAAAAGTACAGACAATCATTTTTGTTTTTCTGCATTTTGGCAGCCTATGTCTGCCTTGGTTTTTTTTTTCAGCCTCTCCTTCCATATCCTTCTCGACTCTGCATATTCAGGGTTAGGGAAATGAGATCCATTTATTACTGGATTTGGCATATCAATTTGGTCTATTTGGCATAGACCACGGATAGCTTGCCAGGCTCTGCCGTGCGGGTTGGATATTTAAGGTATCCTGAAAACTTAGAGAAAAGTAAATAAATATTCGCGCAGCTGCGAATGCGGCCACGCGCTCCCGGGAGCTTGTTGTGATAATCTCTGGATCCTGATGTTTGTCATATTATTTGTGTGAGGTTTATATGATAAATGTTAATTAGTCTCAGAAATGTTTCCACACATCTGTACTTTGTCAATGATGGACTTGGTGTTCCATTTGTTTAAGTTTCTCTGGAGATTTCACCTGACTGGGAACAAGAATATGTAAACATATTAGTCCAAAACACTGCCCTCTCGTTGATCATCGATTTGCTCCAGCAGGCAAAATAACATCTCCATTTTGAGATTTCTTGTTACTGTGTTTAGCATACTGAAGACATCATGGGTAGCTTGCCAGGCTTTGCTATGCAGGCGAGATACTCTCGGTAACATGCCTGGCTCTCCTAGAGGGGCAGAGGAATCAAACCTGGCTCAGCTGGGCTGGCTGTGAAGAGAGCAATGCAGAGTCTTCTGCCCCCTTGCCTGGCTGTCCTTGCCCGCACCCCTTGGAGGGGGACAGTTTGAGTTCCCCTCCCCGCCCCGAGCAGAGATCTGGCAGCCGAAGACCTCCAGAACCAGCCACAACCATGCTGAGATCACTCTCCACACACATGAAGGAACCGGTCGAGGAACACAGGTATGAGGGTCCCGGGGCTGAGATCTCCAAGCCTGCTCGGATCGGGGCTGAGTATCCTCCACCCAGATCCTCCATCTTCCAGTAGGCAGCTGTCACACCCACCAACTGCCCCCTGGTGCTGTGTAATCCCATCAATGGCGAAGACCCAGAGACTATAAAAGCCAGCTCCCTGAAGCACATGGCCACGAATGTGGGACATCTTATTATTTCATTTTTGCTTTGGACAACCTGGCAAGCTACCGAATGTAACCTGCCCACACGGCAGAGTATGGCAAATACCCCAGCTGTACCCAATATGCCAAATACCAGTAACAATGATGGGTCTCATTCTCCTATCCCTGAAAGAGCCTTGAACATGGAACTTTTTAAAATCTCAGGGCTAGGACCGAAGGAGACGTTACTGGTGCCTGCTCGAGGCAATCCATGAGCAACAGCATGATCGTGATGGTGAGGGTGATCGACCGGGCTGGCTGCGCGCAAGGCAAATGCCCTACCACTGTGCTATCGCTCCAGCCCCCATTAGTCCAAGCAGAAAGAAATAACAAGTTACCCGAGAATTGGGCAAAAATATAGGCACACAAACACCAGTGGGTAGAAAACTTGAGATGTTTCTCTAGGCATTTTGAGAACAGGATGGTATAGAGGAGAGAGAGCTGACTCACTGTACAGAATGTCTGAAGTGTTGTGAGGCATCTGACAGCTCTGTCCATACCTTGATTTAAGAAGTGCAGTTCTTTTTTTAAAGAAACTTCACTTAAGTCCTATGGTTTACCAAGGTGTTGGGCTGGGGCGATAGCACAGTGAGTAGGGGGTTTGTCTTGCATGCCAGTGACCCGGGATCAAATGCTCCTTCCCTATCAGAGAGCCCAGCAAGCTACCGAGACTATCTGCCCGCACGGCAAAGCCTGGCAAGCTCCCCGTGACATATTCGATATGCCAAAAACAGTAACAAGTCTCACAGTGAAGGCATGACTGGTGCCCACTCGAGCAAATTGATGAATAACGGTAGGACGGTGCTACAGTGCTACCAAGATGTTCATAATATATTTGTTATGGGCATTCAATGTTCCTACACCAAACCCACCACCAGTGTGACCTTCCCTCCACCGTTGTCCCCATTTCCCCCATTTTCCTAACCACTCCCTAAATTGCCTCATTATTGTAGGCCCTAAATAATTTATTTTTATTGCCTGTTTCAATGAGTAATAGACAAATGGAATATCCATTAGTCTAAATGACTAAAGGAATTATAAAAAATAATCACTAAAAGAAAATTTGTGAAGGGTCTTATATCTTGCCATGGGGTCATTAAGTCCTTTTGTTGCTAGTTGAGCCTTGTATTTGTTTTTGTTCATTGAGTTTAGTTGGCTTCTATGTCACTTTCCCATATAATTTGGTGTGCTTCTACTGGAATGTCAGTATTGTACGATTTGGAGGTGTTACCAGACAACACACGCCCTCCTACACCCCTGCCCCCCCACCCAAGGAAGTCCAGAAATTGTAGACCTGAGCTAATGAATGAGTTTACATGGCAGAGACTCTGGCATGTGGGAATTAATGACTTCCAGGGCTTCCTAAAGTTCAGGGTCAGGAAGGGGGAGAATGGGAGGTTGCCCACCGCCACTCTGAAAAGACCCAGAGTTTTCAGCCTGAAAACCAGTGTACTTGAATTTGTGTCTGTTTGGTGTCTCTGCAGAGATTTGTCATGAAGCAGTGGAGTTGGACCTTTGGCACCTTTAGGATACAGCTACAAAGACTTTGGGAGGGTGAGGACTTAGCATCTCCCCACAAAGACACCCCCAGGGATTTTAGCTGGGAATTTGGTGTATCCATGAATTTTAGTGGGTTGGCTTACATCTCCTTGGAGATTTACTTATGACTCTGAGACTCCGGAGAATACTATTCTTTTAACATGTGTTCCCTACATCTTGCAAAGGATAACACGAACCGTTCTGGAAGTTCCTTTAACATCTGTGTTCATCACTCAATCACAACAGGAAATATAATTTTTGAAGAAGGAGACCCTCCTGAAGAGACACGTCTCAATCCAGTCTAGAGTCAGGGTTCCCACTGACTAGACCATAAAGGCACAGCACCTCGGGGCAAGCTCTGATGATGGACACCTAGTACCACAGGCTGAGCTCGGTTCCCACAACTAGAGCTGGTGGCTGTGTGAATGCTGAAAAGCACAAAATGTGTTTGGGACCCAGAAAACAAGAGGCAAAAACTAAAGCTGGAAATACCTCTCTTACTGACAGGGGAAGTAAAACTGCTTGATCAGAAGTTAATCACAGAGTCAGCCCCTGCCCCCTGGGGAAATGCAGCTGAGGTCTGCTTCAAAGGCCATACTCATGGCAATGCCAACAGACATTCCTCTTTGTGTCCAGGAAACTCAAGTTTACAAAGATCCTTGAGCTGGATAAACTTTCTTTAGTCTTGTGTGAAATGGAACCTAGGAATCACATTTCCCTTAAAAAGTGAATCTTGGGGCTGGAGTGATAGCCTAGTAGGTAGGGAGTTTGCCTTGCACGCGGCCGACCAGGGTTCTAATCCCAGCATCCAATATGGTCCCCTGAGCAATGCCAGGAGTAATTCCTGAGTGTATAGCCAGGAGCAACCCCTGAGCATCGCTGCGTGTGACCCTCAATAGGAAAAATAAATAAATAAATGAAATAAAAAGTGAACTTCCCTGACATTTGCTTTGGAAGGAGACAGGAAACCAAACTGCCCTTTCCTCAGTGTGGAGAGATCATCCCCACCTATCATTGCCTCTGCCCCCGCCCCCTGCAAATGCATAGTTTCTCTAAAGGGCTCAATGGCTCTATCCTAATTCATGGGAAAATATGGGCCACTAATCACTCTTCTTGTTCCCACCTGAAACACTTTGAAAGAGGTCATCCAAAAAAAGGAGACTTTAAAGGATTTCAAATACATATATGAAAACTATTGGAACTCAGACAGGAAATTTTATAGACTAGTATAAGAAAGGAGGCATTGAAAGAGTTATGCTTGGAATATCACGTTTCACTCAAATGAGAGAAAGAATCTGGAGTTCCGACCTCCTTTGATGATCAAGAATCAGGGACACTGTCTCATTTGCCAAGGCGTCAAAAATCAGAAGGCCTGGACACGCACGTAATGAGATTTGGATATGACCGCTGGACTAGAGCCGGTTCACTGACTGGATTCCACGGGACTTCTTCGTTAAGACCCTAAATGATTGGTTTGAGGCTCTTTGTGTTCCTAGAATGAACAGACACCATTGGGCTACGCTAGCACGCGACAGGGAGAAATGGAGACGTTACTGGCACCCGCTGGAGCAAATCGACCATTAATCGGAAGTCAAGTGATCAAGTCTAAGAAAGAAACAACAGAAAACACAAGCAACTGAATAAAAAACGCCTTTATTGGAAATGTGGTATACAAAGGAGAAGCCTGTCTGCCATCCCAGGCAGTAGGGAAGGGCATGTGCTTCAAGCCCAGTGTAACCAGGACAACTTATTTCCACAGTGAGGAATTTCCTGAAAAGTCACGGTTTTTGTGAGGGTGAGAGGTGAGCACGCATGGTTGAGCTACAGAAAAATAAATTTATATAATCCTGCATGGGACATAACAAAAGAAGTCTTAAGACCATCTCCAGGTAGTACATCTGAACACTCAGGGCTGGGATCTACCGCCCACCCATACCACCATCCCACCAAAAAAAAAAAAAAAAAAAAGGAACAAGAGGCAATATACAGAGAAAAAAACAATGCTATTCTTCCCTGAAAGTGAAATGAATACTTTTCAAAAAAAATCATGCCAGATTCGATGACAACTGAATTAAATAAGACACAGTGATCATTGCAAAATCCACAACCTACTCTATAAAGTAATTACAGGAGGAAAACAGAAACAGGGATCAAGCTCCTAAGCCCTCCCCACGCCCACCGAGAGAGGGGCGCAGTCACGCCCCACAAGGAAATAAGGCTTGAGCTCTTGAGCAAAGGGCTCGGTGAACAAGTGCAGGTGAGACCTGTCGGAGGCGGCGTTGTAGAAGGAAAGCTGGCCCAGATCCCAGTCCAGGTAAATGCCGATGGCTGCGGACTGGTCCCTGAGAGCCAGAGGCACAGCCCATGCGCCCACGGCCAGGTAGACGCGTCCTGCAGCTGCAGCGTCCAGCATCTCTTGGGAGCCACCAGGGGACGCGAGGCCTGGGCAGAAGGGGCGACGCTGCACACGCCCACGGCCCACTCGGGCTTGGCGCCCACCTGCATCTCCCAGTAGTGGCGGCCAGAGGCGAAGCCCTCCCGGCCCAGGACCACTAGCTCGGCGGCATCTTCAGGTGGCCCCGGATCCCCAACAAAGTTGGGATTTTTCCTCACCCAGGTCACAGACTTTTTATCTTTAGACACGCGCAGGCTGGGGTGTGCCGTGTTGGGGTCCAGGCTGATGCTCTCTAGGAATCTCCGGATGATGCTTTTGAGCGCTGAGCACAGAGGAGGGAGGCTGTAGGCCACCGGCCTGAAGCACAGGGGCTGCACTGCCGGGGGCTGCAGGCCCGCCCAGCGCTGCTGCAGGCCCCTCACGCCCCTCAGCACCATCTCCTCGGACATCACGCTCCGCTCGGCCACCTCCCGTCTGAGGTCTTTCTGCGCCCAGATGTGGTCAGAGTAGACCTCCAGGTTGGCCCTGAGCTGCTGCTGCAGGCGTTTCTCCTCTTCTGACAGCCTTCGGAGAGCTGCCTCTTGCTCACTCTCCACAAACTGGGTGAGCTGCTCAAACTCCGAGGCCAGCTGACTCTTAAGCATTCTGGCCTCCTCGGTCAGTTGGAGGATCTTTCTATCATGGGTGACTTCTAGCTTCTGCACCTTTGCCAACCGCTTCTCCAGTGACTTAATGTACTTGAGCCTTTGTCTGTGATAGGATGTGGCCTCCTCCACAGAACACTGAAGATCAAGACACCGGGCACACAGGGGACACAGCAGCGCCTGGTCGTCCTCGCAGAAGAGGCTCATCCCCTGCCTGTGGTCTTCATGCCTGTGCTCCTCTCCCCGTGCCATCTTGCTGCTCCCGGAGCTGTGCAGGCGCTTGGCCAGGTCCACCAGCCTGCCCAGCTGGGCGTTGGCACTGATACGCATCTCCTGGCGGGCCAGCTGGCACACAGGAGAAGGGAATGTGTCCTGCAGGTCCTTCCATGACATGCGGATGCAGGAGTCGCAGAAGTTGTGGCCGCATTCGGTGGTGACGGGGTCATTGAGGTAGTCCAGGCAGACTGGACAGAAGCATTTTGACTGCATTTGGCCAGGATTGCTGATACCTCCACCATCCTCAGGTGTGGGAAGGGCAGGACTGGGGTAGTGTGGGCTGTCTGAATGTGGGACTCCTCAGGTGGTTTCCTGTCAAAATAAGTTACACCTTCAGACCTCTATCGTATACTCAATGTCTTTCTCAGTGAGGGTCCCTCTCTGATGACTTATCATACTGCCTGATCCACTGTTGTCCAGTGACTCAAGTCACAAGGAGTGGCCCGTCATGAATAAACGTGGATATGAAGAGAAGTCGAGTTCACCAACTCTCTTGGCTAGCAATATCTACAGCTTTAAAAGAGCTGATGTGTTCTGAGGAAGAGAAGACCCTCCCAAGGAATTAGGAGAATGAGCTTTCCAGGGCCCTGCTCACCGTCCTCAAGGCAATCAGATTCTCCTTCTCCATAATCACTCAAAGATGCCAACTCTGTAAGGCTTCATGGAATAGAACCCTGAATATTTAGTGACAATCCCCAGCTGTGACCAAAGTCCTGGAGATGGGGAAATGACTCAACGTAATCCAGGAAGATAGGTGCTAAGGTATAGTATTTCATATAAGCAAACAGATATCAGATCGTCTATGAAGTATTTCCTCCAATAAAAATAGTGTTCTCATAGAAAAGATACTAGGAATGGAAATTATGCTCTCCCTCTGCCTCCCATAAACCCACAGTCCTTATTGGTTATTTCCTGGATCAGTGACCCGGGTCTGGCTGAGTCCTTGGTAGTGTTGAGCTGACTCTCCCTGAAGAACTGTGGAAGTCGGCCTGGCGCTGTCCTGTGATTGACCTGCGTTTTTATATTCTGTTGGATGGGTGGGGCTTTAGAGAAAAGACCAGTCAGAAGGAAGGGAGCTGCATTAATCCTGATAGGAATCTCTGAAAGAAGGGATTTAGTAGTACTTAGCCAGGTGGAAGGTGTAGGCCACTAATCCTGAAAATCCAATCTCCACAGTGAATTTCCTACCTTTATCCTTCTCATTTGCTCGAGCGGGCCCAGTAACGTCTCCATTAGAGACTTTGTTGTTACTGTGTCTGGCATGTCGAATACTCTCGGTAGCTTGCAGGGCTCTCCGAGAGGGGCGGAGGAATCGAACTCGGGTCGGCCATGATTTTTTTTTTTTTTGCTTTTTGGGTCACACCTGGTGATGCACAGGGGTTACTCCTCTCTCTGCCCTCAGGAATTACCCCTGGCTGTGCTCAGGGGACCATATGGGATGCTGGAAATTGAACCCGGGTCAGCCGCGTGCAAGGCAAACGCCCTTCCCGCCATGCTATCACTGCAGCTTCACCTTCTCATTTCATTTTTTACATTTCATCATCCTGTTAATCGTCGATTGCCTTGAGCAGGCCCCAGTAACGTCTCTTTCATCCTAGCCCTGAGATTATTTTCACGGCTCTTTAGGAGAATGAGACCCATCATTGTTACTGGTATTTGGCATATTTGGTACGCCACGGGGAGTTTGCCAGACTCTGCCCTGTGGGCAGGCTACATTCGATAGCCTGCAAGTTTGTCCAAAGTAGGAATGAGATAATAAGATGTCATAAAGAAAAGTTCTCATAAGCTCCACCTTCTCATGTTTCTTAATCCCATACTGGTTGAGAAAGAAATAGTAGTACCATGCTGTGTTTCAAGTTCAATCTTCCTTTCTGAAAGTGCAACTGAATTTTTTTTTATTATTATTATTTTTTATTTATTGAATCACTGTGGGAAAGGTTACAAAGCTTTCAGGTTTATGTCTCAGTCATGCAAATATCAAACACATTTCCCTTTACCAATACTTATTTTTTACCCTGAAGAACCCCAATAAAACCCCACCCCCCACCCCTCCCCGTCCCTGTGAGGCAGATGAATTCTAGTTAACACTCTATCTGCTTTGATTAGATTCATTGTTTCAATAAGATTCACCACTATTATTTAGAGTTTACCCCCCCCCCAAATCAGACATGCTGAAAAAGCATTGTGAAGTGATTTGCTTTCTACAGCTGGGTTCAAGAATTAAATGTTGGTTTTGGATTTTTGCTATTTTACCTATTGACCCTGGAAGTATTTCTACTGAAAGTCAGATAGTTAAGAAATTGGTTTCTGTGTTCTGGAGTCGTGGCCGTGCTGGAGAGTCGCTCGCGGGGGGCAACCGGTGGCCTCAGTAGGGCGTGAAGGGCGGAGCGAAAAGCCCCCCTTCCCATGAGGTTTTAGTCGCCCCCACACTCCCGGCTCATACCTGCTGTCCACAAGGCTCCCATGTGGCCGCCATCTTTCTTTCCAGAGAGGAGAGGGCGAATGGGGCAACACCCTTTCCCCTCCAGCAGACTTGATGGCCTGGATCAACGCATAGTCCGTTCACTTTTCTGCTCCAAGCTGCTGGGTTCTGCATTAAGTCCTTGTGCTTCTGGGGCCATGGCCGTGCTGGAGAGCCGCTTGCGGGGGGCGACTGGTGACCTCGGTAGGGCGTGAAGGACGGACCGGAACGCCCCCCGACCCATGAGGTTTTAGTCGCCCCCACTCCCCCGGCTCATAACTGCTGTCCACAAGGCTCCCATGTGGCCGCCATCTTTCTTTCCAGAGGGAGGAGGGCGGAAGGGAGCAACACCCTTTCCCCTCCGGCAGACTTGATGGCCTGGATTAACGCATAGTCCTTTCACTTTTCTGCTCCAAGCTGCCGGGTTCTGCATTAAGTCCTTGTGCTTCTGGGGCCATGGCCGTGCTGGAGAGCCGCTCGCGGGGGGCGACTGGTGACCTCGGTAGGGCGTGAAGGACGGACCTGAACGCTCCCCTTCCCATGAGGTTTTAGTCGCCCCCACTCCCCCGGCTCATACCTGCTGTCCACAAGGCTCCCATGTGGCCGCCATCTTTCTTTCCAGAGGGAGGAGGGCGGAAGGTTGCAACACCCTTTCCCCTCTGGGCAGAAATGATTGTCTGGATTAACGCATAGTCCTTTCACTTTTCTGCTCCAAGCTGCTGGGTTCTGCATTAAGCCCTTGTGCTTCTGGGGCTGTGGCCGTGCTGGAGAGCCGCTCGTGGGGGGCAACTGGTGACCTCGGTAGGGCGTGAAGGACGGACCGGAACGCCCCCCTTCCCATGAGGTTTTAGTCGCCCCCACATATCCGGCTCATACCTGCTGTCCACAAGGCTCCCATGCGGCCGCCATCTTTCTTTCCAGAGAGGAGAGGCGACTGGGGCAACACCCTTTCCCCTCCGGACAGACCTGATGGCCTGGATTAACGCATAGTCCGTTCACTCTTCTGCTCCAAGCTGCCGGGTTCTGCATTAAGTCCTTGTGCTTCTGGGGCCGTGGCCGTGCTGGAGAGCCGCTCGCGGGGGGCAACTGGTGACCTCGGTAGGGCGTGAAGGACGGACCGGAACGCCCCCCTTCATTAGGTTTTAGTCGCCTCCACACCCCCGGCTCATACCTGCTGTCCACAAGGCTCCCATGTGGCCGCCATCATTCTTTCCAGAGAGGAGAGGGCGAATGGGGACTTTTTCTCAAATCTGCCGGACTACACCTCCCAGGTAACCTCTGATTCCGGAAGTCACGCCCACAGCCCGCCCCCCAGCGCCATCTTTGAAGCGTTCAGCATAAGAGAAGGAACACATGGAGGGTGCGGGACCCCGGAGGAAAAAAAAAAGAAAAAACAGGTTCCAAAAAGAGCCGAGATCACCGGCAAGTTCCAGATGGAGTAGGCGCCGCATCCCGCCTCCCCCAGATGGAACCCCGGTGACCAGAAGCCTCTACAAACACAGCTCGAGTATGCGGGAACGAGGACTTTTTCTCAAATCTGCCGGACTACACCTCCCAGGTAACCTCTGATTCCGGAAGTCACGCCCACAGCCCGCCCCCCAGCGCCATCTTTGAAGCGTTCAGCATAAGAGAAGGAACACATGGAGGGTGCAGGACCCCGGAGGAAAAAAAAAAGAAAAAACAGGTTCCAAAAAGAGCCGAGATCACCGGCAAGTTCCAGATGGAGTAGGCGCCGCATCCCGCCTCCCCCAGATGGAACCCCGGTGACCAGAAGCCTCTACAAACACAGCTCGAGTATGCGGGAACGAGGACTTTTTCTCAAAACCGCGCGGCCGCGCGACATCTCTCTATATACAAAGTGATCAATGAGAAGTAAACCACCCAATCTTTCTCCCTGAAAATCAGAGTTAAGTTTGGAGCACGGCCACAGCCCCAGAAACACAAGGACTTAATGCAGAACCCAGAAGCTTAGAGCAACTGAATTTTTAAGTTTCTACTTCTCAACTGAGATTCAATTCCACTGCATATGGTCCCCCAAGCACTGCTACGAGTGACCCCTGAGCACAGAGCGTTGAGTAACACCAGGTACAGCTAAAATCAGAACAAATGTTGCACATTCTCAGAATCTTTAGGCTCCCTGGAAGGCTTGGAATTATTTTTCCTCTAACAGGCAAACAAATAAATAAATAAAACATTCTGGCTTTGTTCAAGCTATGGGATGCATGATGGTTGGCATGTCAAAGTTTTCTCCTATATCATCCACAGAACTGTGAATGTCTCTGTCTTGACCTCAAAATTTTCTTGATCATTTCCTAATCACTGTGGATTGGTGGGGCGTTAAAGGAAATCCCCACCATGTTCTGGTTCTGTTATTACTTGCTTTTTTACAGGACATACCTGGGGAAAGAGAGGTCAAAAGAAGCAAGAGAAAATATCTTTCAGTGGTTTGATAACCTGTTAAAAAGCTTTTCTTATAAGACCTGGAGGGATAGGACAGTGGGTAGGGCATTTGCCTTGCACGGGGCCGACCCAAGTTCGATTCCCAGCATCCCATATGCGCCCATATCTCTCAAGTCTCTACTTCAAGATTTTAATAGGCACTAACTCAAACGCTTGGGATTTTAATATCCTGAGAACTCATCTTTAGTCATGGTTGGCCGGAAGATGACGATAAAGTCCGACATAAGAGCACAATGCCTGGAGACCTCCAAAATTGGTGTGGAGTACAAGCAGGTATGTAGAAGACCATGAG